TGAGAAACGGGAAACAGTCCTTGACCTCATAGCAACAGATAAAAGAGATCAGTGTTATCAACATTCTTCTCCTACTGAATCCAAAACACAGCACCTACTGAGAGGAAAATTAACTCTATCCCAGCCAAAACCAGGACAGCAATGCACATGTGTCAGAAGCCAAGGTACAGAGGAGATATGGTGTTGACAAGCCAGAGACATTGGGGTTTTTTTGGGGGGAAGGTAAATACCCGCTTATACCAAAGAGATGACACTATTCTCTCCTGCCTTGGCTTATAAGGTCTTACTGCAGTCACACCAGCTCTGGACAAGGAGTATACAATACCAAGCCAGTGGGTCTCAAGAGTGTGTTATGTACCTCGCAGATAAAGGCAAGGCCATAATGCTGACTAAACCATCTGGATACAAAGCGACCTGTTGCCTCCCATCTGACACCTGTGGGGCAGGATGATGGTGTTTCACGGGGCCCTGGACACTGAGGGTTCCCTTTGCCTGCCCACGCTGCCATGTCTGGATAAAAAGGTTTCAAAGGAACTTATGGATGCCATATGTTTCCAAGTGCTGATCACACCAAATGTGCAGTCACTCACATTGCACATTTCTTCCTTTCTTCATTCTGTTTTGCTGTGTGTGCTGCTACATTCATTTTATGACTACTTTCTGCTTTTTATAGTTTAAAGTGGGTTATGTTTTGCTGCTGGTCAGCTTTAGATGTTGTACCTGATTAGTTTTATGGGCTGTACTGGTTAGCTTATTTTCTCAATTTCCACATGGGCTGCCTGTTACCAGGGTGAGCGGTAATACTTTGACTGTATGTTACAGATAACAGAGTCCAATAGGAACAGATCTGTAGAATTAAACAGCTGAGGTTCTCACGTACACACAGCTTACATTTTGTGATTTCTTCGCTTCAGTATAACACTAGTTAGGTCCTGAGGACTGAGTTGGTATTAGCCTTTACAGTGTCTTGGGTGTGTTCTTGGCATGTATTTTGTTATGTCTGAGGCAGTAAATGATGAGTAAGTAAGACTGGAAGACAGGCTTAAAAATGCCCTCCTGAAGAAAACTCAAGTACTAATGTAGATGCGTTTTTGTGAGCAGGCCTTTTGTGGAGTGCCATGTGCTTTGATTTCAAAACTGATTTGTGATTCTGATATTTTACTAAGTCACTTTAATTATTTATTCCCTTACATTCATGTGTGCAATGGACAGCAGTGCCTTTAAAAAATGGTTTAATCATTCATTAAACTAACAATTACTCAAAAGATCAACACAGCGAGAAGGCGCTGCCCATTAACAGTTATTGAAGTGCCTGTAGATCAGAGCCCTGCCAATTAACGGAAAGTGTGGGCTCTGTGCTAGAGGCTGTTGGAGCTCTGCGTGCCAGACCCATGGCTGCCTGTTTGCCATCCTTTGTGCTTCTTCTGCATCAGAGGCTCAGCCCCTTCTAGGTCCCATAACTTTGCCCATCCCTGCTCTCTGCAGGGCAAGGCACCTGCTGTTGTACGGGTGTATCCTCCTGGCACCCTAACAAACCACAGTCCTGAAAATACAGCCCTGTCTGCTCCCTCCATCTTGCTCCCCCAAAAAATCACACAGACCCCACTGCAGTGGGGAAAACGGCGTGGGCATCTGTGTGCCTGGCTGTGAGCCTCAGCACAGGGGCCAGTTACTTGCAAGTCAGGATGTCTCAATCTGGAGAAGGTTTAGTCTTTTTTTTTTGAATCTTCCCTGTCCTACCAGGGAGCCTATAAAGTAGTCGCTGTTAGGTGAAGTAGTAGGCTGTTGCAGCGCTAGTGTTGTCTGCCTTGTTACTTGCTGCATATTTTTTTTTGCAGAAGTATCAGCTATATTTCTTCTCAGGAAACTCATACTGAGGGTTCCACCACCCATCTGGATCTGCAGGCCATCCTGGATTGGCTTCCTTCTGGAAATGCAAGTACAGTTGAGAGTAGCAGTTACTAACAAAATAGGATCGGTTACTTTGCTTTTGCTTATGCAAAGGATTAACTGTGGATCCAAAGCAATTTCCATCAGGCAGGATAGTGATGGCCCAATGGCAATTGCTCTCACTCCTACTTCAACACCACGAAAAAAGTCTATCTTTGTTAAAATTCTGAATTCTATTACATTTAATTATATAATCTGTTTTTCTGTTTTCTCTGCTTTTCTCTTGGAAGGCTATATGTAACTTCCGCCGTATCAGGTGCAGGTTACAGTTGTACTGTGGGGAAAATGGATTTATTTTTATTTTGCTCATTTTTATATATACAGAATTCTTCCTCACAGCAACTATACTGTCTCAAGATGTAACACGGTTACTGGACCCTCTCTCCAGTGGCAAAACCGCAGCGGCGACGCGGCAAAAAGCGTCCTACAGCAGGCTCTCACCTACAGCAGGCTGCAGAGGACCTTGTCCAGGTGGGTCTTGAATATCTCCAGAGATGGAGAGTCCACAACCTGCCTGGGCAGCCTGTTCCAGTGCTCCGTCATCCTCAGAGTAAAGAAGTTCTTCCTCATGTTCAGACGGACCTTCCTGTGCCTCAGTTTGTGCCCATTGCCCCTTGTCCTGTCGCTGAGCACCACTGAAGTTTTGCAGAAGCATGGTAAAGCTACTTCAGTGTCAATAACATTTCTGGAGTAAATAGAAGCCACAACATATGATGAGACAAATGTGACTGCATAGCAGCTTGATCAGAACTTTCAGGTAGTTGTTACCAGGAGCAATGCTCAAACCTGCGCCACTCTAAGGTGACTGACAGAGAACCGTATTTCGCTGGCACTCTTCAGTCTTCAGGGAAGGATCAGCAACCAACAAGAGCATAGCAATCTTGAAAATGTCTTTATGGAGAATAATACTGTTTATTTTTAAAACTATATGCAGTCTTTATACAAGTAACATTGTTGTGGACATGATGGCTTAAGGATGCAAGAGAGGTGGTGTATGTATGTAGATTAACAGCCTAAATGAAGACAGACTTCTCAGCCCTTACAGAGTAACACCTTTCTCCAAGGCAAGTGATGGACCACAGAGAAGCATCATTACAGTTTACAAGCCCAGCTGAAACAGCCAGCAGCTGGTGGGAAAAGTTAATTGCCTTTTGTTTCAGGCACAAAGATGACACTGACGGGGTCCCACTGATGAGGGACACTGACTCCTGCAGCATGCTTTTGTATGTGGTGTGAAAATGGGTACTCAACACCTTTGGCTCTTTCAAAGGCCAGCTTTGGTGTCTGATGGAAGTCAATGATACACCATTCAGTGAAGCAGACTTACACACTTGTCCCCCAAAGGAATCCTTTCATTTCCATGACAGTTAGACTGGGTTTTGAAATCAGCACTGACTGTCCCAGCGAAAATTAATGGCTTAGAAGGAGAAATGATTTAATCATCAACCCACTGATACGGCATTATAATGTGCCAGGGTTTGAATAATTGCTAAAATCTGCAAGTAAAATTTTTATTTGGACTTTCTTTGGAAGGATTTAGCAAAAGAAATTTTCCACGTGCCTATGGCAGAACTTTAGACTGCAGCGGTGGGAAGGGACCTGGTGTAAGGGCGCACCTGCAAACCTGAGCATGGGCCACACGAATCCTTATGCACCTCCAGAAACCCATCTTCCCTTCCTGTGTAAGTGGAAATGCAATTCCTTAGCCACATTTCCCTGTCTTTCTGTATTCAGTGGAGGGGGAAATATGCAACAAAAGTTGTATTACACTGATTTAGCATCTGCTGCAGGGGAGAACCAAAAAGACTGGTAAGATGAGAAATGTTAAGTGACTGCAAATATTTTCCCAGTCTTAGACATTTTTTCACTTTTCCTTAGAGGGCTAAAAGAGAAGAGAAGAAAACCTACCCATACAGTGTTTGGACATGTGAATTCTAGTGCAACTTTCATTGACCCTCTCTCCTTTCCTCCAGATAAAAATAACCTAATCTTTTATAGTTTTATTTGGTTTGTTTTTTTACTTCCTTTGTCCTCCTTAAGAGAAATATTAATAAATCTCACCAGCAAGCAGAGTACGAGTGTGTGAGAGACTGTTAAAAGTAACCTAACCACTGCATATGTTATTTATGATTTGTAGGGAAGAAGTCAGAATATTCCCCACGTTTCAGCAAGTCCTTTTCAAATCCCTAAAGGCTAACTTCTTCTGAAAATACCTTCCAATTCTGTATTCTAGGACCAGCAAAAAAATGTAACCTGTGTGTGCAAGAAGGAGGTTGCCCATAAACATATCACAAATAAAAAAGTAAACACCACTGCTGATGCAAGCAAAAGCTGCAAATTTTATGAACTACAGCTACCAAGTACACTGTTAAGCTATTTTCCACAGCAAGTGGCTACAAGCCATGCCTCTGTATTTTATTCACTAGTGAGGGCTTGCTCTTTCCTCCTTCAAGCCAGACTGAGGTCCCTCTTGCCTGTTATCATGGATTTTAACTACCTTATCTCAGTCCTCTGTAAAATGAAATGAACTCACTGTCTTGGTTTATTCCTTCTCCTTTGGGGCTGTGCCTTTTTCAATATTGCTAAGTTTGCAAGACTTTGGATAAGCAGATCCTGTGGCTATGAAAGAGGCTGAGGAATCATGAAGCAAGACACTCAGTAAGACACCTTTATTGAGCTGTACAAATCACCAGTAACAGAGACAGGTGGCTTGAGTTCACAAAGTGGTACCTTTAAAAAGGGAAAAGGGAAAAGGGACGTGCTGTAGCTCTGTAAGCTACAAACCTATGACAGAAAGCATATCAGAGAGAAGGAATTAAAAACAAAAAATAGCAAGAAACAGGGCAAGCGGTGGAGAGCAGTGCTGAGGAAATGAGTGCAGGAAAGTTGAGAAAGATTCACCTGTCCCTGGTTTGCGTCTTGGGAAGTGAGACGATCTGAAGCCCTCTGGGCCATGACAAGGAGGCTGGAGAGAAAGCACTCTCTGGGCTGGAGTCACCCAGGAAGAGCAGATGACTGAGAGGGACACAGGAGGGGACAGAGGGTTGGCTTTATGAGGTGGTTCTGCAATCAATCAGTTTGCGAAGGCTCCTCCGGAAACTGTCATCCAGAAAGGCGTACAGGAAAGGGTTGAAGCAGCTGTTGGCATAACTCAAGCTAGTGATGAAGTAGGAAATCCCGATGATGAGTGGAGTTTGTGGGATGTCTGTAGTGAGGGCCACCACTGTGCTAAGGTGATATGGTGTCCAGCAGAACAGGCACACAGCCAGGATGACAACAACCATCAGCGTCACCTTTTTTTTGGCTTTGTCTAGCGCTTTTGCATTGCAATGGAGGTGCACACGTCTCAGTCTGCACAGCATGGTGGTGTAGAGGATGCAGATGGTGGACACTGGGATGGCAAAGCCTAAAATAAGGGTGTAGATCCGACTGCCTTTCCACCAGAGGCTCTCAGGGTGGGGGAACACGAAGACACACTGGGAGCGTCCCTGCTCCTTGTATATCTTAGCAAAGACAGTGAAGGGCAGGATGATGACTGTGACGAAGGACCAGACGCAGAGGCTCACAATCTTGGCGGCTCGGTAGGTGCGGTAGGACATCTTCCTGGACTTGGTGGTGGCCACCACAACCAGGTAGCGGTCAATGCTCATGACAGTGAGGAAGTAGATGCTGGAGAAGGTGTTGTACTGGTCTATGGAAATGATGAGCTTGCACATGAACTCTCCAAAGGGCCACTGCAGGAGCAGGTAGTCAGCAATGTTGATGGGTAGCACCAAAGTAAAGAGCTCATCAGCAATGGCCAGGTTGAGGATGAAGATGTTGGTGACCGTTTTCATCTTCGGGGCTTTGAGGATTACATAGATGACGGCAGTGTTGCCTATCAGCCCCACGGCACAGATGACCGAGTAGATGACAGGCACCGTGACATAGAAGCTGGGGCTCAGCAGGGGAGTGGATATATTCAGACCCCCATCCCCTCTCACAGTGCAGTCTGCACACGACGAATTGGTCTCAGGGAGGGAGGGGATCTCCATGGCCACAGGAGAGGGTGGCCAGGCCCACTGGCGATGGGAACGACTTGAAAGCGGGGGAAAAAAGGTGAGACCCCTGCGCTTCTCCTCCAGTGCATCCAGCCACCCAGGTCTCACATATGCTGCCTGCTGCCACTCTGCTGGGAGCAAGGGGAGATCACCAAGAGCTCAGTCTGTGACAGAGGATCCCACCATCCTCCCCAAGTGGGGATTGTCCCCCACCAGCTGCCCCTTCCCTCCTCCCGCACCGACGGGGACCGTCTGGGGTCAGCACCCAGCCTCGAGGTCCCCCAAAATGAGCACCCTCAGGTGACAGAGCTCACCTGAGAACCCAAGGGTCTGATCTGGTCGTCTTCCCTGCTGGCCCTCCGCAGCACCTCTGGGCACCGCAGAGGGTCAACGGGGAAGGCGACCGGATCGGACCAAGGAACCCATGCCCTCGGGGGGAGCCGTTGTCTTTGGGATACTCCCCAAAAAGCAAAGCAACCTTCTTTCCCGACGGAGTCGAGGGATTTGGAAGGGGAGAAAGGATGCACTGACCTCTGCCAGCCCGGCTGCGGTGGCTGGGGTCCCGGAGCAGGGCAGGGGTGATGCGGGTCGCGGGTCCGTGCAGGAGGGGATGCCGGTGCCGCTTCTTCTCTCGTCTCGATCTAGGTAGCAACAACGAGGTGACAGGAACCGCGGCGAGGATGGTTTAAAAGTCGGGAGCTGGATGCCGCCGGGAAGAGATTTGTGCGATCACCCGAAGACCCGGCTCCTCCCAGAGCCGGCGAGGTGTGGCAGGGACGCCCAGGCGTTTGTCACGGGGGTGGGTACGTAGCTGCAGCAGGGGTGTGGGTACCGAGCTGCAGCAGGACGCATGCCCGCCAGTTCCTGTGCTGTGCTCCCCCCCGGCACTTTTCACTCCTTCACGCTGCGATGATGATGGACTTGAACATAACCCCGGGGGAGGCAATCTTTTTGAGTTGGAGGGTAATTCAGAGTTCCTGATCATCCCGTTTTTTCAAAAAGCGTGTGGAGTAAAATCTGTCTCACTTCAGTTTTATTTGTTTTGCATCTTAAATGAGGTTGAATTCTATGGGCTTGTAGTACATCTGATTACCAGCAGTACTGATCAGATACATTAACGCCAATTACCAATAAATTACTAATAATGTAATACGTGCAACTTTTGGCAAGTAATTTGGCAAAACTGTTTAATATCTCTAAGGTAACACCACGGAGTGAGAGATAAACACAGTCTGGCCCTGTTTGTCCAGTTTTCTGATGCATAATTACCTAGATTAGCAGGCTATCACGAACATGAACATCTAAGCAAATAAATTAATGAGTAAATAGATTAAATAGTACAAGCAAAGTAGCTTTGCTTCATATTAGTTATGCTTTCTAGTGCTCTGTCTTATTTTATTCTATACTTCTAGCTATAAAATATAGCAAATGATACTTCACCATACAGAGTACACTGTCGGCTCTGTGATTCTCGACTTCCTTTATGGAAAGATTTGAGAAGAAAAGAAGTTTACACACCTGTGTGCTCCCACACAAACGACATCAGTACTATGCTGCAGGCTTATCATGGAGTTTTGATCCCTTTTCTGCGCATTTTATATTTTCTACTTTCACAAGCCAAGCAATGAAAATGTCACCCTTCCTATGAAGTTTACTGCAAACTAGCATTTGAGTCAGGTTTTCTGACTCAAAGACAGTTGCTCCAAAGTGAATATAGCTTTGGAAACTTTCTCTAAAAAGTATGTTTTTAATTTTGGATGCAATCAAAACTTCTGGTTGAAGGAAGGGGTTAAAGGGATTTTAATAGAAGTGGCATTATCTAATAGTTGCTGTGCATTTAAAAAAAATGATAGTGCTTATCTATTGTCTAAATTAACTGAAGCAGAGAGTCTTGCATCTCCATACAAAGGGGTTAGTTCCTGATAGGGGCTGGGAGTCACCTAGAACCGGTCAAGACCGACCCTGCTGTATGGATGGGAGCCAGGAGAAAACTGAGTTTGCGCAGAAACAAAGGTCGATCAGCGGACACTGTGATGAAGAGGATGGGCCTTCATCTTGGGACCCCCGACGACCACCACTAGGAGGCACTGTGCAAGTGCAACTGGGAGGAGTCTATGGAAATTACTTCTTGGAACTAATTATAATATGGAAATTATTTCTCGGAACTGATTTTGATATGCAATGAGGATAGATGCATATGTGTAGGTGTATTGGGAAATCTAATGCATATGTCATATTTGATTGTATAAATTGAAAAGACACGTTGCTGCTGGGCGCGCACGACTTTGGTGGGACTACCCCGTGTTGCCTGGCGCCGAATAAACATACCTACTTTACAATCTCACAGATTGTGGAGTCTGCTTTCCGCACGTCATGGTGACCATCTTTTCATCTGGACTTTTATTTCCAGTGATTTAATGAAGATAGTACCATAAGACCCCTCTTCCCCTTTTTATCTACCCAAGTTCTGTCATTTAGAAAATATAGAGTTAATCATAATGGAAACAATTCAGCTATTTTTCATTGTTTTCACATTTGTTTCTCTGGAGAAGCTTTGTGACCTTCTGTTGTTGTTTTAGAATTGTTTTGTTCTCTCAGAAATCCAACAGAAATAGGAATTTCTACTGAAGTCTACTGAAACCCTTCATATTTCAGCTTTGTTTTCAGACCAACCATGGCATAGTTTGAACAAAACAGAACACAAACATTGAGCAACACCATAATAGCACCAATGCAGTAAAAAAAAAATTGATTAGATTCACTTTCTGGTATTCTAAACAGGTAGAAATGTTTTTATGTAGAGATTTTATTGGAGGACCTCAGCCACAGTGTGTACTTATGGCAGTAATACAGTAGACAACCTGAATAAATAAAATCTGTGACCCTCTACTCGTGGTCACTGGGGAAGGCCTCTGGTGACTGCAAAAGGCATGCCATACTCACCTGCAGAAACCGCAAGGAAGACAATCCAGGGAACCACAAACTGCTCCACCACACCTCAGTCCCTGAGAAGATTGTGGGGGAAATCCTCCTGGAAGCCTTTTCCAGGAATACAAAGAATAAGAAAGTGTTTTGGAGCAACCAACTTTGATTCAACAAGGGCAAATCGTGCCTGACCAACCCGGCTGCCTTCTGCGATGAGATGACAGACTCTGTGGATGAGGAGAGAATGGTGGGTGTTGTTCACATGGACTTTTAACAAAGCCTTCAGCATAGCTGCATTGTATAGGTGGGCTCAAAGGGTAGCAGTCAGCCATTGAACATTTAACTGGTGGTCAGTTATTAGCAGTGTTTTTCAGGAGTCAGTACTGGGGCTGATACTTTTTAGTGTGTTCTTCTTCAGGGACCTGAAGCATGGGATGGGGTACACCCTCAGAAATGTTCACGGATGATACCCAATTGGGGAGCGTGGTCAGTGTGCTGGAGGGCAGGGTAGCTATTCAGAAATGGGCTGACAAAAATCATGACAACTTCTAAAAGGTAAAAATTTCCTGTGTCAGTGTTGGAACACCCACTTGCAACTGCAGAGATTGGGCACTGCCTCGCTACGGAGCAGTTTTGCAGAGAAGGACATAGAGTACCTAGTAGAGAACAAGATGAACATCAGTGCGCAGAGAGCCCGTGTAAAAGTGAAGGCTAACCACATCCTGTGATGTGTCAGCAAGCATGTGTTCAGCAGGTCGAGGGAAGCAGTTATTCTCCTTTATTTGGTGATTGTGCTACTACACAATTTGGGGTCTCCAGTACAAGAAAGATTTTGAGAAACTGCGGCTAAGTGCAGTGGAGGGCCATTGAGATGCTTAGGAGGCTGGAGCATATTAGAGGTGAGGAGATGTTGAGACAACTGGATTTGTTCTGCCTGGAGAAGGCCTGGGGGCTGGAGGCAGGGAGGCAGGGGAATCTAGTTGCTTTCTCCAGCCATCTAGGTGTGGCTTATAGAGAAGAGAGAGTCAAAATCTTCTTGCAGTTGAAAAACAATAGGACAAGTGACAACAGTTGCAAATTGCAGCAAAGTAAATTCTGACCAGTTGTAAGGAATCACTCACAGTGAGGATGGCTGAACTTCTTCCCTGGAGATGCTCACAATTTAACTGGACATGGCATTGAATATCCTGATCTAATTTCAAAGTTGGCACTGCTTTGAGCAGGGAATTGGGTTAGGTGATCTTCAGCAGTCCCCCTAACCTAAATTGTTCTGTGATTCTACCATGTTCAAATATTATTTTAAGCCTTTGAGATCAGACTCACCCCAACATATTATAGAGTAATAAAAAAATAAAATTTTTAGAGGAAACTAGATTTTTGATGCAATTGCATAATATCAAACCTTGACCAAAAATGATACTTTCTAACAACCCCCTGTATAAGAGGAATATCCTTTGAGAGGGCACAGAACATCTGGCGAGTAATTCATAGCTGAACAAATAATTCAACAGAGATGAAAAGTGTAGTTTACAGAAAGATTGCATGCATAATGTGGTCATTATGAATGCCGTTATGCTTAAAATGCCATGGGTTTCCGATCTGACTGATAGAATCCTTATGGTGATTTACTTATTCCCAGTATTTTCCTCTCTTGTGACTGGTCCATTTTTGTGGAAATAGCTTCAGGGGTTGACTATGTGGGAAGGAAATCTTTAAGAGTGAAGTAGAAAGAAAAATTTCCTTCTGAGTTTTATGTAGTGCCAAAAATCCCCTAATGATTAATCACATTTTTGAATTCAAATTCATATTTTATCCCTAAAGTTTAACTGGACTGATGGAGCACAGAGGTTGAATATCAATGGATGAAAAATTAGATTTAATTTCCTGGATTATGTGTTTCAAATTAATTTCTATCCTACATCCAAAAGCTGTGAAGATTATTTCTGTATTTACTAACAATGCTTGTTATATATTTTGACAACTCAAAATTACAATATAACTCTATAGGACAATCTCAGATTTTATCAGTATGCTGGACCTTGCCTTTCTTTGCTTATTCTAACTAAACA